GAGACCGTATCGCCTGCGGGAAGAAGCTCCTCCTCAGTCTCTCTGTGTTGGTCTTCAGGGAGCGGAATCGCTTTCCTGACCTCAACAGAGAGAACAGTCTGTTGTTGGGATGGCTGAGGTCCTTCATGATCTGCATGCAATTTAAAATATTAAGACATAAGGAAGTAAAACTGCCTTAATATAGTCCCAGGATGTGGCTTTTACTTCATGTAAAGTCAAGTGCTAAAGCAACAGCTCAAGCTTGACATGTCCATATGAATTTTGATATTCTGGAGCCAAAACTACAAAAACATTATAAAATATGGATACATTTCCAGTTTTGCACGCTCTTCAACACACATATACGTCTTTCTTGTGCACAAGTAGGCTGCACATTCCGTTGCTCTGTATTTCACCTCGAACGTACAGCATTGCACGACAAGCGAGAGTGCATGTCTCTACGAGATTTCAGCGATTCCTTTTTTCTCTCTCTCAGGGCAAGTGAAACTGTCTGGGAGTAGCTGCAGAGTTTCAGCACCCCAGGGCAAAGATTATTTTATTATGAAGCCTACGCACATGTTGGTCCTTCTGTTGTTATGACAGCCAAATGGATGAGCGCCAAAGGGCGCTAGATCTCTCAAGGTGCGCGAAGTGTGGGAAACACTGGGAGAAATGAGGAAAAAAAAGAGGGAGTGCGTGCAGTCACCTTTAAATGTGTTGCACAAGAGAAAAGCAAATTTGGAGTGGTGAGGGAAACTGCTGGAAATAAAAGGGAGATGTGCATGGGCATGCAGCGTTGTAGTAAGAAAGCACCTGACCCACCGTGAGAAACGTCAAAACTATCAGGCACACGCTCAGCTCAAGTCATAGTGTACTGTTAATACTTGCCCTTCTGCATCCTTACTACATGTGGTGAGGTGTGGTTTGGTCAGAGCGTGCAGCTTTTTCAAAATTGTTGGCAGAGCATGTTTGTCTGTCATGATACTGGGGCGTTTTTTCTTTCTGAGCTCTCTCTCACTCTCTCTGATTTGAAATGCTTGTTTGTTTCAGGGTATATAAGAGGCCATGAGAACATACTCCACAACAGATTCACAAGGTTGGAGTGGGGGAAGACCCAGTGCTAGGAAAACAAGCTCTATCAAAGCTTAATATAGAAACAAAACCTAGAGAGGTTGGTGCAAAGTTCAAGAAAACACAGTGATTTCTTTTAGATTATATAAATGTGGCTGCCATTTGTAGTATGAACTCTGGCTGCTCAGAGCCTGACCTAGAGCACATTGCATTTTCCTTCAATCAGACTCTCTTCCTTCCTTCTGTGCTAGTAGGAATGGAACGAGGACTGAGGCCCTGATAATAGCTCTCTACATGATGTCATCCTACTATCAGACCTTAAAGCCTGAGCAGAGCTGGAGATATTACTTGTGGTTCACACCAAAAAGCAAAAGCCAGGAAGTTGCAAGAAAGCACTAAAGACACAGGCCAGCAAAATCGTACTACTTCCTTCCTTCCTTCAAATTCAACCTGGTTATTTTTGCTGTGGATTAATTGACCAAAAAAAGTACAGTAAGCAGCTTACCAGGTACCATTTTCTCTACTTTAGCAGCAAGGTAGTGATTTTTTGAAGATTTTAATTGGGAGTGAACAGGATAGACAAGATTAGAAATTAGGGCTGATATAGTCTGAGAGGCAAGGCTGAAATGTTTTGGTCAGGTGCAGAGGAGGTATAGTGGGTATACTGGGCAAAGAGTGTTGTCGATTAAGCTGCCAGGCAGGATGAAAAGAGGAAGACCACAGAAAAGATTCATGGATGTAGAGTTGGTGTAAGAGCCAAAAGAAGAATGGCAAATGGTAAACAAGCTGGCACTTATGTAACGCTTTTCTACTCACTTTGGACTCCCAGAGAGAGATCTTACTACAAGCCTTTCAGACACATCCTTTTTTGTCAAATCTAAACATGTTTAACCTAAAGTTCACACACTCACACTCTGATGGATGCACCGGCTCAGTATCTTGCCCAAATATTCTTCAACATGCAGGTTGGAGGAGCCAGGGACCAAGCCACCAAATTTCTGATTAGTAGATAAAACACCCTATCTCCTAAGCCTTTCATATGATCGGATCAAACCAGTGATAAAGCTCTGAGAAAACAGTTGATTTTTTGCAAAATCGACCCAAGCTGAAAGTAGTTCACACCTATGTGTCTGCGAATCTTATGAAGTATTGACTAAAGGGTTTGGAGTGCATT